CCCCAGTCTCGGCTCATCCCCCACATCCACTCCTAAATAGTTGCCGCCTGTAATCTCTCTGAGGAGGAGGAAGAAGAAGAAGAAGAAGAAGAAGAAGGTGGCTATGGAGRACCGAGGAAGGAGCTGGATGGAGAAGAGGAGGAAGAAGAAACCCGTCCCTTCTGTCTCACCTGCCACTGATGATGTTGGACGGCAGGTCGAAGGCCGGCTATGGCGCCCAGGTACGTGTTCCCCAGTCTCGGCTCATCCCCCACATCCACTCCTCTGCTCTGCTCAGCGCAGCTTGAAGATACCAGCGCTGCTCTCCAGCACCGTATCCCAAAATGTGCACCAGCAGGATGGAATGATGTTGCTGCTGGGCACTGGTTCAACTATATGGCGCTGGAGCAGGTCCTATGTCCCCACGACCTATGATCAGGGCCATCTGATCGAGTCTCGATCGGTGGTCCTGATCGTGGGCTCAAGTCCTAGTCCTATGCATATGGACAAATCTGAACCTGGCCTCAATGGCCTACCTATGAACCTGAACCAGGCCTACAACGGCCGTCCTGCAACCCCACTGGTCCGAACAGGCACTGCCCGTTCGGACAATCTGAAAAGTCCGAAATGACATATCTGAATCAGACAAAAGTAGGACAGACGAACTCAGACCTGAACTCATCAATAAATAAGTACATAATCAACAAAAAAATAGAATAAATATCGATAGGGCAAGAATGGGAGTCTGGTCCAAAAATGTGGCATGCCTAATCGGCATCGATCAGCACTGAGAACAGACCTCTCAGAGACAATACAAAAATAGCACAGCGGAAGACTGGAATACCACGATCCGACTCGTCATGGACAAATGACAAACCTGACAGCACACATCATCACTCAGAAAGAGGGAGAAGAGACGAAGGGGGAAAGAGGGAGTCAGGGAGGATCAGCCACCATAGCCCGATGAACCCAGTCTCCAATGTATCCCCAATGTCGCTGCTCATACCATGTCAAGTCGTAATGTCACTGAACTGGGCCAGTGTCAACTCTCTCTCTCTCTCTCTCTCTCTCTCTCTCTCTCTCTCTCTCTCTCTCTCTCTCTCTCTCTCTCTCTCTCTCTCTCTCTCTCGTATCTCAGTAGAAAAGAAGAAGAAGAAAAAGAACTCGGAGGGGAAGAGGAGGGGTGATGGAGATCAGACAGAAAGGAGAAGAAGAAATCCTCTCTCTCTCTCTCTCTCTCTCTCTCTCTCTCTCTCTCTCTCAGGTAAGTTCTCCTGGCTTTGGCCCGTCTCTCACTCTCTCTTGCTGCAGTGCAGCGCAGTGCTCCAACTCCTAGCTCGCGCCCAGCGCTGTAGACTACTCTAACTGCGCCCAGCGCGTTGACTACTGAAGACTACTCACTACTACCTCAGAGCTACCACTGAGAAGCGCCTAGCACTACCTCAGTGAACTGCCTGAAGAACTACCCACCTAGAACTGAGGTTGATCCAGCTATATGCTGGGCCTAGTGTCCTAGGCCGAAAGGAAACAGTCTGGTCGAAAGGAAAACAGGTCTGGCGCCAAGAACAGAAGTCTGTTCTAGCGCTGAAAACAAAAAATGGCCAAAAAGTAGGGGCGAGGTGAAAATACGGAAAGTCTGGCGCCCATCAGAAAGTAGGAACCAGGTGAAAATATGAAAAGTCTGGCGCCAGAGGTCTGGTCAATGCCAAAAGTAGGAACCTGGTTTTGCAGAGGTCTGGTCGATGCCAAAGTGGGAACCTGGTGAGAAGATGGCAAAGCGAGATAGTGGCCTACTGGGTCCTACGGGTGACACAGACCCTAAACCGTACGAAAGCCCTAACCCTATTGTCGGGCCTTGCGGGGCTCGTGTGGTTCTGTGTATGCCACATCCCCCCCTCCTTGAAAGACCGAGCCTACCTGCGAGGGCGAAGCTGTCTATGGGAGGGAGGGTCTGAAGTCCGGGTGGGAGGGGCAGGTTCTGAAGCCTGCTTGGCTAGTCGTTGCTTCTCGTAATTTGCAATGATAAGTGGTGCGGAAGCTTGCAAGTCTGCTTGTGAAATCCATTGTGTGTCGTCGCGGTCGCACTGTTTGAAGGTGACCTTGTACTGCGTTGGCTTATGGCCATACTTGCGGTGCGTGATGACCTGATCGACCTTGTGGTGACCATCCATGGAAGGAGGGTCTTGCAATCGCAGGCCCAGGAAGTCCTCGCTCTTGGCTGGTGTGTATGTAGCCAGCTTGGAGGCGTGGAAGACCGGGTGGACCGGTAGATGCGGCGGGATATCAATCACGAACAATGGGCCATCGGGCTCGTCGCGTGGGGCTGATGTGACGGTCCATGGGCCAAACCACTTGGGAAGGAGTTTGTGCGATACGTCTTGTTCATGTGCGAACTCCTTGGAGGAAACCCATACAAGGTCGCCTACGCGGATAGGACATGGCACGCGATGCCGATTAGCTTGCTGCTGCATGCGGGGTTGAGCCTTTTGCATGTTTACACGGGCTTTCGCTAGCAAGTCCCAGTACTTTAGAACGGAGGCGGGAGAGCAAGGGGTGCCAATGTCGGTTTCCCGAGGGAATAGAAGATCTGCGAAGATACGGCCTTTTGAACCACCGTGGTGCAACTCGAAGGGAGTTACTCCAATCGTCGGATGCAACAAAGTGTTGTTGGCGAAATCGATGTCGGGGAGGCGGTCAACCCAATCTTTCTGGTCCATACGGATGAGCGTACGAAGCATCGTTTGAGCGGTTTGATGTGCCCGCCCGTCCGTTTGTGGGTGCTGAGCTGAACTCGGTTTCACTTCGGTGCCAAATTCCATCACGAGGGATGTCCAAAATACCAACATGAATCGAGTATCGCGGTTGCTAACGATGTCTTCTGGAGCGCCGTGGCTGCATATCCAGCCAGTGTGCAAGAGTCTCGCGAGCTTGGGAGTCGTCGCATGATACGTGCAAGGAGGAAACTATGCGTATTTACTTAGTCGGTCAACGACTTTGAGGATATTGTTGTGCCGAAGGCGATGTCGTGGGAAGGGTCCGGTGACGTCCATGGCAATAGACAATCCGGGTTTCCGAGGGACTGGCACGGGCGCAACTCGCCATACGGGTTGCGGTTGTGGGGCTTGTTGCGTCGACAAACCTCACAAGATTCACAATACAGTGTGACGTCGGTGATGACGCCAAACCAGCGGAATCGTAGGGAAGTCGAGTAATCGTCAGGTTGGCTCCGAAGTGTCCTCCAAGCTGCGAATAGTCGGTAATCGACGGTCTCGTGGGATGCATAGCAAGTCCTTGCCTCGTTATTGGAGAAGCAAGTACTCGTTGACAAAGCGGTGGTGACTAGCCAGCCGATGGTCCGAAGAAAGCTGCTCGTAGAGAGTGGCGTAGTTCGGATCTGTTTTGTATGTCCGTACAAAATGATGATGTAGGTCTTTGTCGAAGTTGAAGGCGTGGTGGATCAATGCACAAAGATCGTCTCTTCACGAAAGAGCATCTGCTGTTCGATTGGAGAGACCGGAGATGTGCTTCAGCATGAAGTCGAATTGGTCGATGAAGTACATCCATCTTCCGATCGTGCTACTCACCGTGTCTTGTGTCTTGTAGTAGGCCAATGGGTTGTTATCAGTTACCCAAGTGAACCGATGACACCTAAGGAGGAAGTGTCACTAGCGTTTTAGTATTGTGACAGAGGCCAGCAACTCCTTCCTTGCATTATCGAGCGAGTTTATGGGGGCCACCTTTTGGCTGAAGTATTCGACCGAGTGCCAATTTAAGCCGTCGTGCTGTTCCAAGGCTGCACCAATGCCGTAGCCGGAAGCATCCGTAATCACTCTGGTAGGCAAGGTGGGGTCGTAGATGCTCAAAACGGGAGCCATGAGCATCGCTGTCTTAAGCTTGTGGAACGAACTCCGGACTTCGTAGGTGGAAGGACACCTTCGAAGACTGAACTTGTGATAAAGGTGCGGCGATCCGTGCGTATCCAGCGATGAAGTGTTGATAGTACCTGGCCAATCCCATGAAGGAGCTAACCTCCGTGGTGTTGGTGGGTTTCGACCAATCTTGGATAGCTTGAATTTTGTTTGCAAGCGGACGGATGCCTTGTGGTGTCACAAAGTGACCCAAGTGTTCGAGCTCTTGTTGGACGAACTTGCACTTGGCTCAGTTGGCCTTGTACTTGGCCTTACGTAGCCTCTCCAAAACGGTGCATAGATGCGCGAGGTGCTTGGCCAAGGTCTGACTATACCAAGATGTCGTCGAGGTAGATGAGCACGGACCGGTCCAACATGTCACGGAACTCCATCGTCATTGCCGCTTGGAAAGTACCTGGGGCATTCGTGAGGTTGAATGGCATTACGACCCACTCAAAGTGTCCATACCGTGTCTTGAATGTGGTCTTGTACCGATCTTGCTGATGGAACTCGATTTGGTGATAACCGGATTTGAGGTCCAACTTCGAGAAGCACGTGGCGCTGCCCAAACGTTCGAGAAGAGCGTTGATGCACGGGAGCAGGCCTGCATTCTTAATGGTTTGCGCGTTAAGCTTGGGGTAGTCAATGCATAGCCGCAATACCTTGTTCTTCTTCCGGATGAAGAGAACGGGTGTAATGTAGGGTGAGCATTGAGCAGCTAGGGCGAATCCACCTCTTTGCAACGAGGTTGTCGAGTTGCGTACGAAGCACCTCAAGTTCCTCCTCGCTCATGCGGTAGATACAACCAGGCGGAGGTACGGCCCCGTCCTCGAGGATAATCTCGAGGCGGATAGGCCGATCCGGTACACTTCCGATGGGAGCTTCGAAGACGTTGCTGAAGGAGTTAAGAAACTCTACAATTTGTGGGTTCGCCTACACTTTCGATGCTGGCTCGTCCGATGGAGGGATGGCATGCAAGAAACAAAAGCCCTTTTCTTCAACGTCGTGTCGTGCGATAGAGTTGAGAATGCTCGATGTGGAAACCATATGACAACCAATTGAAGGGTGAGGTGGAGGAACCGTACATGGGACTAACATGCCGTTCTGATCACGAACGTGAACAGTGCGCCGATAGAAGTTCACGGGTTGGTCCTCACTTCGCAGCCACAACATGCCAAGGTCATGTGGAACTTGGTGTCCAAGATGTCGAAGGACACAATGTCACGTGCGTGTGGGGCGAAGTACACGGCCACTGCGTTAATGCACCAGTCAATGGACTTGTACGTGTGACCGTTGGTCACTGGGACTTGCGTGGGCTGCAACTTCCTTCGAACGCGCGGCGCCAAGCCAGCGCGTGCCATGAAGTCTTGGCTGATGTAGTTGCGAGTAGCTACACAATCGATCAAGGCGCTGCAGGTCGCCTTCCCGATTTGAATGCGGATGTAGAGCAAACGTGCGTCAATGTCGTCGTACTGTTGCGTGGCGTACTTGAGGTCAATCTTCGCAACATACTCGCAAAGGTCAACAACCGCTACTCCGTCTTTCGTCAATGGAGCTGGTACTGCAGCGTGCAAATACTTGCGCGATTCTGCCATAAAAGGGTTACAATGCGGCTTTGGCAAGGAACCGAAAGGAGGAAGAGGCAACCATTGGAAGTCTTCCATAGTCAACGGGTCGAGGTCCTCGATTCTCGACCAAACTGACGAATCCCCGAAAGATAGTAATGACGGCGAAGAAGTTGGGTCACTTGCCAACGGTGATGAAACTGCACGTGCATGAGTGTTGCACGTGGAGGGCAGCTCCAACGGAGGGACCAGCTGGGCAGCGTAGTCTTCGAAGTCATGGCGAAGACTTGCTACATTTGCATGCTCTCCAAACGTGTAGGTGGTTGCTAGCAAGGGAATCGTGTCCGGTGGGATGGGAAGTGGAGTCGCCTCACTTCCCGCGACACTCAGTTTACTGAGCTTTGCTTGGGAAGAACATCCTCCTTGCCCTTATCGGAGCATTGAGAGGGGGTGCTTAGTGTTGTTTCACCAAAAGCAGCATCCCCACTTTTGTCGGTGTTTGAATTGCTGTTCCTTGAGTTCAAACTTTTCCCATGGCTTGTTCGGCTGTCCGACTTTCGACGTTGATGCGGACTTTGCCGTTCTTGTTCTTGAGCTGTTGTGTCGCGGCAGAAGGGCATTGACTTGGTCTCCTTCACTTGACCCTGAAGTCAGTGTTGGGTCTTTATTTGGCCCAGTTGATTGGACTGCAGCAATGGGCTGCGCCCGTTACCCCTTTCCTTTCTCCACAAAATCCGGCTGCCCTTGTCTTTCGTTAGCGGCACACCAATTAGTTTGGATGAGGGAGCGAGCGTGAGTTACGATCGAGTCAAAATCTTCGTACTCCTCCACTCGTCCAAGTGCTTGAGTCAAGGAGTCGATCGAGCGTTTGAAGATCTCGCATCGAATGTGTGTTAAACCATCACTACCCACGCCGGCCTAAAATGAACTTTCCTGGCCTGGCGGGCTGGGTTCTTAGTGGGGGCGCCGACCGGCAGGCATAGGCGGGTCCGGTCCAAGAATTTTCAAGTGCAAACTTCGGCGTTTTTTCACGCTCAGAAAATTTGGCAAAAAAATATGAAATTTTGATATCATGTAGATTAGGCCGTGATCTTTCCAGGAAAAATATAAAAAAATAAAAAAATAAAAAAATTAGACCGTGAAGTAAATGCCGTGCAGTTTCGTCACATTTTCCATTTTTGCTACTCGACCACGTATGGGCCAACGGGAAAAGTAACCCAACTTTTGCGATTTTTTGCGATCAGAATAATGACCCAACAACTCTGAAATTTTGAGGGTCCGTAGATTTTGTCGTGATCTTTACAGGGAAAATATAAAATAAAAATAAAAATCATTTGAACCGCGAAATAAACCGCGGGGGTAATTTGACGCATTTTCGAATTTTGCCACTCCGCCAGTTCCCCCCACTGTCCTTCCGGTAGCCCTCATGGACCTGTGCTACCGGTTCCCCCTAATTTATGACAGCGGGGGTAGTGGTGGTTTAATGGCAAGTTCAAACCGGGAATGACAACGATCTTTTGCCATTCGATCAACCACTCCATGTTGGTTGGCTCCCTTGGTACATCTGGAAGAGTTTGTCGATATCTTTGGCGACCTCGTCCTGTACCATGAACCGTGCTTTCCACAAAGCTTCTACGGTGTCCAAGTCCAACTTGGTGTGCAAGCAGATGTTGACTCCTTCCTTGACCGCGAGGTGGTTGAGCCAGATTTGGCACGCACCTGTGGTGTTGAGATAGAGTGGTGCGAGCTTAATTAAGGTGTTCGGGGACGTAGCAGAAACTTAATTCCGTGGTAAAGCCTTGCCACCATGTGAGTGGGTCTTGCTTGTTTGGTGTAGTCGCCGAACTTCTTAATGTTGAAGTTTGGCATCTTGTACGAATGCTGGTCGCTGCTGCAGCGTACGGAGACCGCTTGTCAACGAAACAATCTGCTGACTGATCGTTGCTGGTTCTGCAAACGTGCCAAGGTTGCCGATTGTGGCGACCACATGGTCGATCCGCTGCTCCAGCTGTCGTGTCGACGACTGGCCGGTACGAGGTTCGCTGCCTGGTGTGGCGGCACCCAAGTTCTCCAAGTCTTCGATGCGGGTATGAAAACCGCGGTTGGTGCCATGCTGCTGGTCCCAGTTGCTGTCAATCACCCATGCCAAGCGCTGCAGCTCCTGCTGCTGCCAATTGCACGTTGCAACGAGCTGTGCAATCATCATGGCGATGTCCTCCTTGGTCTTCTTGGCATCCGTCGCGTTGCTGTTGCTTTCCGTCGGTGTAAAGTGACTTTTTCTGAGTTTTACAGCATAATCCATCTCTTGCTGCTGCAGTGTCGTGCAAGCGGCCATTCGGAGTTGGTTGATTGCTGCTGCGGCTTCGGCCTGCTGTCGTTGCTGCTCTGCTGCTGCATGTTCGGCTGCACGGATGCAAGCGGCCTCAGCTTCGTCGCGGTGCTTCTTTTCCTCATTGATGAAGGTCAAGAAGTTGGCTACGCGAAGCTGGTAGGCCTCGACGGTCTTGTTGGGCCCCTGCCCTGGCAGGCCGGGTGCACCATGGGATGCTGTGCTCCCAGGTGGGCTTAATGCGGCTGCTGCTGAGGCCATGCCTGGGGTTGCGGGCTGATGGCGTTCGGCAGCGTCACGTGTGGGAGATGCAGAGCTGTGTTGTGCTGCGATTCGTGCACTGTGTCGCAGTATAGCCCAACCTCAGCCTTGGTGCCGACGTGGCACTTCGCTAACGTGGCAGTTTGATGACGTGGGCACTCCGCAGATGTGGCACTTCTGCTGACGTGGCACTGTTGCTGACGTGGCACCGTTGCTGATGTGGCACTTCTTTGCTGTTGTGGCACTTACCAAGCCGTTGAGAACAAGGTAGGAGGGGAGGGGAAGTGATACATGCTCAGTTGAACGATGTATATGGAGGCAAGGATCCGCAAAGTGATGAAAAGGACTCAAATGGACAATGCAGTGTCAGCAAAGCATCAACAAGCAATGTACATCCAGATACATATGAAAATAGCACAATGTAGCGCAGGGGAAGACACAAAGATATGACCTGACCTATCCGAGACTGACGCAACATCCCATCATACACCAGACATGTGAGAGAGGGAGGAGGGACCGCATATGTGACGAGGCCCTATGGGGCTGGCACACCACTCACTAAGAAATGTTAAAAGGACAAAAGTATGGCACATGTATCTTTCCATGTTCTAGTGGAAAATTCGTTCTCATTTTACACATTTGGTGAGTGGTGCTGCGAGGCCCTATGCCTGAAGTCCTTCGTTCGAGAGTGATCTTTTCTTCACGACCTCTTCACGGATGTGAACGGAAATGCAGCCGTATTCATAAAGATCGTGCCCAGAGAAAATGAAAGGACAGATTGTTGAAAACAAGGTCTTGGCTAGTTTGGTTAAAGTGGCCAATGTACCAAGGGGCCTATCTCAGTTGCTACACCCATGAACTGTTGATATACGGACCCAAGTTTGAATCCAGATGCAGTCAGAGGGGTGTATGTTCTTATCATCACTGCTGGCTGTGAATACTAGTGTAGTTAAAAAAAAAGGAAGACGAAAAAAGAAGGAAAAAAAAAGAAGGAAAAAAAAAGAAGGAAAAAAAAGAAGGAAAAAAGAAGAAGAAGAAAAGAAGAAGAAGAAGGAAAAAAAGAATCAGACTAACAACCTATAGTGGCCAATGTCAGTGGTTCCTCTCTGTCGCGCAGGGCCCTCTTCCTCAATATTATACTTATTTCTCCCACATTTGGGTTTCCGGGTTCATTCGGGCCTTTGGAAAAGAAGGCCTTTCCCAAAATCAGATCGGGTGCATTTTTTTTGTATCTAGAGAAAGGGGTAATGAATGCAAAAAAATTGAAAAGGTTGGCTACATCGCAAAAGTCGCAGGGAGAAAAGTTTCGGTGGTGGAAAAGGATAGCGGAGGATTGGGTATCCGAGACCCTGAACAGCAAATAAGAGTGAATGCCCTACTTGCTAGATGGCCTGTCCAACTGCTCACCCTGCACTCTGGGCACCCTTGGGAGGAAGCTGCTATCTTAGTACTTTTTTTTGCAGGGTTCGGGGTTTATCGAGAAAAGAGAATATTGGGGTGTGCTTATTGACCAAATCTTTTGTCAAAAGATGGGTGACATCCCCTGTTTGGAAAGGGCATTCTGGGGGCATGGATTCACATCATGCCAGATCAGAGAGGGAGACCACAATCTCAGAATGAAATATCACGACAGCACATCTTTGTTCCAGCAGGTGCTGCTCCCCACTTTTCAACAAAAAAGAAAAAAAAAGAGAGGAGATGGATACAGAACATGAGGGCGAGACCTGTTCTGCAGAAGATACCCTGGGCAAGTTTGGGAAGGTGTGGATTCAAAGAGGGGTATCTAAGATATAGGATTGAAAGACCTGTCGGACGAGGGGGCTAGGAGAAAACTGAAACACATACCTGGAGTCAAATCTAGGGCTAGAGGAAATCTTAGAGAACAGAGGGATGGATACAGAGTCGGACAAATGAGGGTGAGAATTGGTCCACAGAAGACACCCTAGGCACGTTTGGGATGGCGTGGATTCAAAGAGAGGGTTGTTTAGGATTGGAAGACCTGTTGGATGAGCGGGCTAGGAGAAAACTGAAACACGGACCTGGAGTCAAATCTAGGCTAGAGGATATCCCACAGGATCGGAAGGACACACTGATGAGTCCTACAGGAAGCCCTAAGGGCCCCTTTTTTGTTAATTTAAAAAAAAAAAAAGATCCTACGGGAAGCTACATCGGCAGATGGGTAAATAATAAAGGTGTGTTTGTGGTTGAGGGTTCGGTGCTGCAGCAAACCTCTCTCGGCCCAGAAGCAGCACAAGTCTTGGGGATCTCACAGACAGTTACGAAGGGCCGAAAGGAGTTCTACTGCCCCTACGGCATATCCAACTTGAAGGACCTGCGGAGACAGTCCCTACTTGTTGGGATTGGAATTCCCCTGACTGCCATTTTTTTTTTTTTTCACATACTCATGAGACTCCCATTCTACCACCCCTCTCGATATATCTCCTGGCGCACCCCCACTCCTTTTCAATCTTATCTCGTGCGAGGAACATCACTCTCTACTGGAGCAACCTGGCCAGACAGCGGACGCCGGCACTGACGGCGTCTGATGCTGAATGAGGTCCCCCATTCAGCCCCAGTTGAGGGCACAACTAGCGTACAAGCCTCGTTTATGTGGATACCTTGGGATCTAGGCGCAAGTTCTGGAATGAATAACGGGAATGAATATTCATTTCCAAAACGCAGCTCTCTCTCTCTCTCTCTCTCCCCTGTGTCATTTCTTTGTTTTTCTTTTTTCATTTTCTTTTGTGGTAGAATAGAGTTCGTTTTTTCTTGTTCTTTTGCTTTTTTACTTATTTATTGTTTTTTCAAAGGACCTCGATCCCGCCACAGGTAGCTGTAGGCTCGGCAAGGCTTAGCATACCGGCAGCGGGAGGGTCGGACTCGATAGCTGGGAAAGGTACGGGTGGTTTAAAAGTTAAAACCCTTCCAGCTCCAGGCGCTTAAATCCAATCCTTTTTGCTAGTGGGACTTCGTCCAGGCCCTGGGGATGTGGCCTCCTCACTGGAACCCAAGGGTCAGTCTTTTTTATTATTTGGGGTGGTAGGGTGGGGGGTGAGGTGCTGGTACTAACGCCAAGCCCACCAGCATCAAGTATTTACTATTTAGCCATGGCCTGGCCATCAGAACTTGTGAAGAATGACAAAGTCGTCTTTGAAAGGAAACAAACAAAAAAAAAGAAAAAAAGAAAAAAAAAAGAAAAAGGAAACAAACAAAAAAAAAGAAAAAAAGAAAAAAAAAAAGAAAAAGGAAACAAACAAAAAAAAAGAAAAAAAGAAAAAAAAAAGAAAAAGGAAACAAACAAACAAAGTTGCGGAAAAATAACGAAGTCGGGTACTTGGAATGATGCAACTATAATTTTTCCAAAATTAAAAAAAAAAAATGATTTACTCGCATCATTGACATCAACCAAAAAAAAAAAAAGCATTCAAATATTCTGGACAGGGGAGGCGCTCAGCCAGAGATTGAGTGCCGAGGCTTACCTCCCCTGCTGCAACTCGCTGTGTTTTCACATGCGCTTTGTATTGCCTTGGGCACTGGGCTCATATGTAATGACTACTAATGAGGAATTCACCGTTTTAGGCAAAAAAAAAAAAAAAAAAAAAAAAAAAAAACTTTCTACCACCTGTCTCTTATACACATCTAGATGTGTATAAGAGACAGATGCAGTGTCAGCAAAGCATCAACAAGCAATGTAC